CTGTTGGATATTGATTTTTTTTTTAAAGAGAGAGACAAAAGGAGAGAGAGAGAAACATAGATCGGCCACCTCCCGCATTCTCGCCTGCCCCAACCAAGGATGGAGCCCAAAACCTGGACATGTACCCTGACCGGGAATCAAACTGGCAACCTTTTGGTTCATGGGATGCTGCTCAACCAACTGAGCCACACCGGCCGGGGCAGTTTTCTCTCCTGAGGAGTCTCCATCAGGCTCCCAATCCATCATGCACCAACCATCTCTCACCGTGGTCACCCCCAACTGCCTCCCAATGCCACGGTCGCCCCCCCTCTGACACCAGCAGGATGTGGCAAGCCCCAAGGCCTTACCTGGACTCCTCCTTGCCGTCCCAGAACACCACCGTGTACTCCTGGCTCTGGGACGAGAAGAAGGCGGTCTGCTTCCCACAGGGCAGCTGGTACATGAAGGTCGCGAAGGTCGGGTCCTTCATCTGGCTCACCACGGACAGGGCCAGCGGTCGCTGAGGGAGAGAGGCCGCCATGGCCGTGGGCGGGGTCACTCAACAACCAGACGGGTGCCCATTCTGCCCACGAAACCAACCGTCTTGAACCAGGGAGGAAGGAGTGGAATCTACTCATTCATTCAAGGCTCAACTGAGCCCTGGCCGGTTTGGCTCAATGGATAGAGCATCGGCCTGCGGACTGAAGCGTCCCGGGTTCGATTCTGGTGAAGGGCACTTGCCCGGGTTACAGGGCGAGCAGGAGGCAGCTGATCAATGATTCTCTCTCATTAGTGATGTTCCTATCTCTCTCTCCCTCTTCTTTCCTTTCTAAAATCAATTAAAAAAACAACACAAGACCCAACTGAAACAAAAGACCAAAACAGACACCAGAAGCAGACCCTCCGACCTGAGCCACACCGAAAGGGCAGCCACTGGCTTTAAAAAGACATTGAGGCTCCTGTTTCTCTTGAGCAAACCTGCTTGCTCCCCGTCACTCTCCGAAGAGCCACCTACGTCCCCTGCTCCTGCACGGGGACAACTAGAACTCCCATGACCAGGTTAGTCTAAACTCTGATATTAAACCCCCTAATCCGCCAAAACCGGTTTGGCTCAGTGGATAGAGCGTCGGCCTGCGGACTGAAAGGTCCCAGGTTCGATTCCGGTCAAGGGCATGTACCTTGGTTGCGGGCACATCCCCAGTGGGGGATGTGCAACAAGACAAGACCCAACTAAAACAAAAGACCAAAACAGACACCAGAAGCAGACCCTCCGAGGCATCTGGGTCACCGTTGTCCATGGCAACTAGAACTCCCGTGACCAGGTTAGTCTAACCTCTGATATTAAACCCCCTAATCCTAGGAGTGCGGAGTCATTGAATCTTGTAAAGAAATGTTCTCAGACCTCATTTACTGCCAACACTTGACACTCGCACTTTCTAAAGTGATCCGTGTGGTTTACACTTGAAACCACCGGCCTTTTCTGAAAACAATTCGCTTTATTGATGACCTAGTCATGAAATATTATTATTGATGTCAGAGAGGAAGGGAAAGGGAGAGACAGAAACATCAATGATGGGAGAGAATCATGGATCGGCTGCCTCCTGCCCGCCCCCCACTGGGGATCGAGCCCGCAACCCGGGGGT